AGAGGTAAATTTTAGGTGACCGGTGTTTGCCATAAAGTTAACATAGCTCATGGCAATGTTGCATTTGAAGAGCTGTGAACTGCATTGGTCAGTGATCAAAACTCTTGCAGAGCCTAAAATCATAACTCGCGTGATGTAAATTCCTAATATTAGTGAATGTACCACATGCATGCCTTAGTACTAAAATAGATACCAAAATATGAGTAGATATTTCGTTGAAACGCTTCTTTTGGCCAGTTATTTGGAAAACACGTCATTTATTTACTCACCTATTTACTCAGTTGTTTGATGAAACATATTAAAATAAGATGTTAACTTTTAAGTGACCGGCGTCTGCCATAAAGTTAAGACAATTACTTGTTTTATTGTAAGCAGCCTTAACAACGTAAAACTTTTCTTCTCTGTTCTAATTCATTCTTGACACTTGAGAAGAAGTTTCGAGGGCCTTTCGAGATCTTTCAAGATCCCAAAGAAATTTCAAACATTGAGAGGCTGACAAGACGAGCGCTAATACTTTGAATGTGCGCCTATGAAAGCCTTTTAGAATGATAATCGCATATGCCCTGTCGCATATTATAAGTTGCGATTATGAGAAAAGCCTGCATGTCCTTAATAAGCCACCGTGTTCTACCGCTTTTTGCAACCTCTTAAAATATTTAGGGTGTTTCTGTACAGTTTTCTTGGAGTCCATATTACTTGACATCGAAAAACATCGCATGTCCCATAAGGGCCACAATAGAAGAAAGATATAGGTAGGTTCTTTACAAACCTAATGTATGCTTGCAGTAGTCTAAAAAATTCCAGAATAAAAGTTAGAGATTCTGGAAGTTTTGCTGTTCACATCGTAATTTTAGAACTAGGGTATGTGCTACAGACGGATGGGGGTGGGGGAGGGCTATGACAAGGTTTGATGTATTAAACTGTTAGAGCGGAAGTTTAGCTGTTGGCTGGCCTACATTTTAAATGTTGGCTGTCGTGCAGACCCCCTCCCCCCTCCCCCCTCCGGCTCCCCTCCTCCGTGGTGGACCTTGCATTACATCTCTCCTGTATTATGTTTCTTGAAAACTACATTATCCAAGCCAATCAAGATGAAGAGTCTTTTAATGTATGTTTTCGATGCAAATCATTAAACTCAAGATAGAGCACTTTTCGATTCAGTATCGTAAAAGCGTGAAAAACAAACCTGTAAAAGGAAAGACCAAATATTGCCAAAAGAATTCAGAGTAAAATTAGGCTTAGGGCTTCCCAAACAACAAAACCCACCAAGCGCTGTCTTCAACCAATAAAGTTGGATAAATACAATAAAAAAGAAACTTAAATAAACATACGCTCCACTATTTTCTGAAACTTTCCTTGGCAGCAGAATTAAAACGAGCTGAACTGGAGCTCTTCCCTAACATTATTTATCTCCTGAATTCACACATCAAAAACTAGAGCGCTCTAAAATAATTAACAGCGACTAGTACTGAAAAAAAATAAATCCAGGGGCACTAGAAAACATCTACAAAGGAAGACAAACAGGAGCAGATCAGGACGCCAAACCCCCAAAAAAGGAAAACAAAATAATAATTGATGGCAAGATATGCCTTTAAAAGTTTAGTGTTGCATGTCTGTGACATTACGAAATCATCATGAAAGTCATTTCTCTTTGAGCTAAAAGAATAAGATGGCCTTTTTTCTATTTATCTGTCACTTTTCTTACTCCGGTTGTATGGGCGAGTTGTGTGAAGACTTCAAAAGGTATCATCTTTCTTCCATTGCAGTGATACTCGCGTTTCCTTTTGCTTTATTTTCCTGATATCTACAACGTGTTTTTTTTTTTAAAGTGTAAGCCAAAAACCATTTTAATTGTTCATATTCATTTCTTTATCAAATACAGGACAAACACTTAACGTTCGATTTGTCTTCACCTATTTTCTTGTTCACAAAGGCTACTATTTGAACATTACACCCATTAATCAAGTTAATCACCAATCATCATTGGTATCACTGCAGTATTGTAGTAAATTCTTTTTCCTAATATGCGTTTTTGGCCAGGATGACTGAACATTCGCTTAGTTCTTTTTTTCCCTTTTTATGGACCTTAACTTCCTCTCGGTCAATAAGAAAAGGGAGAGAAAGAACGAAGCCAATATCCGGCCATCTTGATCGAACAAGCTTTGTCAATAAAGGATTTATTATTTAGCAAACGATTTCGCTTCATTTTAAAAGAATTACGAATTAAGAATGATATTGTTTTACCTCGAAAGTCGTGTTTGTAGCACAATAAACTCATGAGAGTCGTTTATGTTTTCTTTGTTTTGTCTGTCCCCTGCCAATCTTTGCGACTCCACCGCCGGGTAGCCGATTCGAACTCAGGATTCGATTCATATTCTCCAAAGGAGCTGCCAGCGATATAACGCATGATTTCATGTATTGTATTTTGCTATAGTCTTATCTCCTTCGATACGCGCTAAGTACGAATTAAGCAAGAGAAGAACGTTATTCTCCTACCATGGCGGAATAGAAATTATCTCGGAGGTGAAAATTCAATTTGATGGGACGACTTGAAAATTTTTTACAGTGGCTAAGAACACGTTGAAAATTCGTCAGATGAAACGTTCTTACGACAAATTCAATAAAATTGATTTAGAGCTCTGTATATGAATATGAAAGAGGAGGGTCTTGCATAATCCAATATCTTTAGTATTGTTTGCTTTTTGTTTTGTTTTGTTTCAGGTTTACCTCAAAAAATCTTTACGATGATACCTGGAAACACGTGTGTCTCACCTGGGAAAACACTCAAGGAGAAACGAAACTCTATAGAGATGGCCAATTCACCGGACAGTTAACGAATAATACATGCCACTAAGAATTATGCACTTAAGGCTAGCGGCTTCCTGGGGCTTGGACAAGGGTAAGACTCTATTGGCGGAGGTTTTGATCGTCCGCAAACTCTTTATAGCCGATTGGCAAGTGTCAGCATGTGGAATAAAGTTCTTTCCGAAAGCGACATTGCCGCTCAGTACACAAATGCAGCGTACCTGGTGGTTCTGTTTTTAAAAAATCAATCAAAAAATAAAAAACCTTAATCGTGGCAATGTCACAGTTAAATGGCCGTGGACTGCATTGGTTAGTGATCAAAACTCTTGGAGAGCCTAAAATCATAACTCGCGTGATGTAAATACCTAATATTAGTGAATGTACCATATGCATGGCATAGTACTAAAATAGATACCAAAATATGAAATGATATTTCGTTCAAACGCTGCTTATGACCAGTTCTTTAAAAACATTTCATTTATTTATTCACCTATTTACTCAGTAAAATGCTTGCAGTAGTCTAGCAAATTCCAGAGTAAAATTTACAGAATCTGGAAATTCTGCCGTTGACATCGTAATTTTAGAACCGGGGAATGTGCTATAAATGGGAACGAGGGGGGAGGGCTATGACATGGTTTGATGTATTGTATTAAAGGAAAGTTAAAAAATTGCTAAAAGAAATAAAAAAAAAACACCCTGCGCTGTCTGCAAGCAATAAAGCTAGATAAGTGCAAAAAAAAAAATTAAATAAAGAGACGCTCCATTATTTCCTGAAACTTTCCGTAACAGCAGAATTGGAACGAGCTGATTTCAATAACTGAAACTCTTTTGTACCATTATTTATCTCCTGAATTTACAATCAAAAGGTGGAGCGCTCTAAAACCATAGAAACTGGGAAAAAGAAAGATCACGAAACCAAGGGGCACCAGAAAACATTTACAGAGGAAGACAAACAAGAGCAAAACAGGAAACCAAACCCCCTAAAAAGAAAAACAAAATAATAATTGATAACAAGATATCGTGTCATTAACTGTTCAAGCAGATGTTTGCAAAGCCCATGGAAAAGCTTAATGTTGCGTGTTCGTGGCATTGCGAAATCGATTATCACCATGAAGATCACTCGTCTGTGAGCTTCAAGAATAAGATAGCAGAATTAAAACGAGCTCAACTGGAGCTCTACTGGTCCATTATTTCTCTCCTGAATTTACAAATCAAAAACTAGAGCGCTAATTGAATTAACAGCAACTAGAAAGAAAAATAAAGAAACCCAGGGGCGCTAGAAAACATTTCCAGAGGAAGACAAACAGGAGCAAATCAGGAGGCCAAACGCCTGAAAAAGAAAACAAACTAATAACTGATGACAAGATATCATGTTATTAACCGAAGCAGATGTTTGCAAAGCCCATGTAAAAGCTTAATGTTGCGAGTCTGTGGCATTACGTAATCGTGTACCAACATGAAGGTCATTTCTCTTTGAGCTACAAGAATAAGATGGCTTCTTTCTATTTATCTGCCAACTTTCTTGCTCTGGTTGTATCGGCGGGTTCTGTGAAGACTTTTAAAGGTGTTCCTTTTTGCTTTATTTTCCTGATATCTACATCTTCTTTTAAAGAAAGTATAAGTCGAAACCATTTTAATTCGTCATATTCATTTCTTTATCAAAACACAGGACAAACGCCAAACGTTAAGTTTGTCTTCGCCAACTTCCGTGCTCACAAAGGCTACCATTTGAACGTTACAACTGTTGGTACAGAACTGGTCCAACGCTCCTCTGAGTGCGCGCTCAAGTGTCTGGAGAGCGATCCTTGTTTGTCCTTCAACCTTGCAGATTTGGATGATAACATTGACAATCTGCTATGTGAACTGCTTCCATCTGACCATTACACCCATTCAGAAAAGTTCATCACCAACCATCTTTGGTATCACTACAGTGTTGCGGTAAAATTATTTTTCTTTTTCTACTTTATCCTATTATCACGTTTTATTATTGTTATTTAATCCTGATAATAACTAAAATCGGTTGCAATCGTTTGAGAAAATTTTATTTGACTGTTCAACATTAATAAATCTCTCTAAGGCTTTATCTTTACTTTTCTATTCCTCGCAAGCCATTTCTAAGTCGTTTTATCGATCCGTTATCGAAGTTTGCTTAACTGGATTTTATCAAGGGAGTAAGTAATTAATTTTATCGGTTTTAGTCTCCTTGCTCGAAGTTGCCCTGTCAAAACAATGGAACTTGTGTACCCCTGTACCGGACAAACAGTTACAAGTGTCGCTGTACGAAAGCATACACAGGAAGCCACTGCGAAAAAGGTAAAGTTCTGTTTTCTAAAATAATAATTCCAAAATTTTTTCGCGCGCGTGCTTGTCGTATCTGGTTCCCACTGAGCCATCATCCGTCGTCATTTTACTTCACACTGACTTGTTTTTGCAAACAGAAGTTTTCCCATTTTAATTCATTTTCTCTATTCTTTTTACATCAGTTGATAATGACTGCAGCTGTTCATCAGGACCAGAAGGAAAACAGAGATGCAAAATAGGTCAGTTAGTACTCCACCTTGAATTAAGATAGCTTGAAACAGTTCTCCGACACACCTATACCGGAAGCGCTAGAAAAGCGACTTTCCCTTTACGAAGTCCAACGAAGTTCACACCTGTTCACAATATGTTTAAAGTTTGAAGTAATGGGTGTTTCAAGGCAACCACAATTGATATGCTAATACATGGGGAAATCCCGTTACACAGCTTTTTGTGTCGATCTCGTAAAATCTTCCATAGACTTAAGAAGTTTTCTTTTTGAGCTAGACCTCGCTGTTGAGTGAATCTCATCACATTAAATTCAGCCGTTTAAAAATCATGACTCCGTCGAATTAACCCTTTACAATAAAAGCAAGCTCCAAATCAAGTTTTACTTAATATATCACAATAATCTTACATCTCACAAATTTTCAATGGGATCGGAGCTATTGTGTTAAATTTAAACCATTTCCTCGTATCGACAAGAAACCACAAACTAGCCAATTAAGAGTACTTTTTTATCATTACATCTCTTGTTCACTAATTTACATGGTTTTGTTCTGTTTTGTTTCGGAAATGGTTCTATAAAATTTGTCCTAATTTTGCTTTCTCGAAATACAGACGTGTCCATTACATCCGAATCAAGAATGACTTTTTGACTTCGAGAGCCGAGAAAGAAGGCCAACTGTGTTTGTAGCACAATAAACCCACGACAGTCGTTTATGTTTTCTTTGTTTTGTCTGTCCTCTAACGATTTTTGCGACTCCACCGCCGGCAGTTTCCAATAATTGCAAACTCTGTCAGTTCGCTCGGGTAGTCAATTCGGACTCAGGATTCGCTTCATATTGACCACGGGCGCTGCCAGCGATATAACACATGATTTCATGTATTGTATTTTACTGTAGTTTTATCTCCTTCGTTAGGCGCTTAGTGCGAATTAAGTAACAGAAGTTTGTTATTATCCTACTATGGTGAATTAGAAATTATCTCGGAAGTGAAAATTCGATTTGACGGTATGGTTTGAAAAATTTTTACAATGGCTCAGAACACGTTAAAAATTCGTCAGATGAAACGTTACTGCGACAAATTAAATGATTATATTCTACATTGTTAATAATTACATTATGGCCTTAGATAGTTGATGAGGACGCAGCCCGAACCTGCTACCTTACAAAGAAAACGGGGGAATACTATAAGCTGCCTAGGTAGAGCTGCGCATCGTTCAAAATTAAACTTGACAACAAGGCGGGATTCATTCGTATTCTATGTTGTTTACAATTAAACACTGTTGGGCTATCGTCTCCGATAAGCGTGCGCCATTTGGGAAGAACACTATAATACTAATACAAATACTGGATACTTCTCAAGAGAGAAAATTGATCAAAGAAAGCGCTGTTGCTCAAACAACTGTCTAAAATTTCTGCAATTTATTTCCTCTCTTATAGAGTACCTCATGGTTTTTCCGGAGCTGCGTTCTACTGAAAATTACGCCATGAAAAATCCAGCCATAGCTTCAGATCTCAGCCAGTTGTCGCTGTGTTTTTTCATCAAACTTGTTCAAGACCAAGGGGATCAGAATGTCGTCACCTATGCTACTCAAGAAGAGGACAATGAAATGGTTTTCCAAATTTATCCAACACGAACAGATTTTTTTGTTAACAACGAGTTGTTTCGGTAATGCTGCTTATCTTTTTTTTTTTTAAGTCGGTCGGGGAATTTCTTATTCGAGCCACAATAAGCCACGATACACAAAATGCTACGATCGGCTAGACAGTTAGACAGTTAATGTCTAACAATTGGAGAGAGAGAGAGAGAGAAAGTTAAACATACAAGCAAACGAAAAGCCTTGGTTTCTTTCCCTTTTCTTATCAAGATTTAAATAACAAATATGTTAATCTTTGACCAAAAGAATTTTTAGACGTATTTTCCTGACCCTTTGCAAACAACTAACCACAGAGACTCTACGGGGAGCGAGGTCTCTATTTTATAAGTAATTGTATAAATAAGAGATCGGACGTAATCGTCCGAGTGAATAATAAACAATTGATTTACTGACTGACAGTTTTCTGACTATTTTATTGACTGACTGACTGACTGACTGAGTGACTGACGGAATGAATGAATGAATGAAAGCACTGAAGGAATGGAAGCTTGAATGTATAAACGATTAAGTGATTGATAAACGGTTCATTGACTGACTGACAGTTTACTGACTGTTTTTTTTTTTAACTGACATCCATACATACATACATACATGCATACATACATAAACTATATTTAAGTGTCTTTGTATTTAGCTTTGCAACTAATTGGGGACACTCTAACTAAATATGTATATAAAATAGTAATGATAATAAGCTATAACTACTGACTGACAAACTGGATGACTCTATCGACTAGGTTGGTGACAATGTAAAAGGAGGGTCTTGAATGATTGAATATATTTAGTATTGTTTGCTTTTTGCTTTGTTTTGTTTCAGGTTTACTTCGACAAATCTCTACGATGATACCTGGCAACACCTGTGTCTCACCTGGGAAAACACTCAAGGAGTAACAAAACTCTACAAAGATGGCCAATTTACCGGACAGGTAACGAATAATGCCACTAAGAATTATGCACTCAAGGCTGGCGGCGCTCTGGTGCTTGGACAAGAGCAAGACTCTGTCGGCGGACGCTTCAATCCTAGACAAACTCTTCATGGCCGATTGGCAAGTGTCAACATGTGGGATAAAGTTCTGCCCGAAAGCGACATTGCCGCTCAGTACACAAATTGCAGCGTACCTCATGGTTCTGTTGTTAACTGGTCTGTATTCAAAAATCTTAATCATGGCAATGTCACACTTGAAGAGCCATGAACTACATTGGTCATTGATCGAAACTCTTGCGGAGCCTAAAATCATAACTCGCGTGATGTAAATTCCTAATATTAGTGAATGTACCATATGCATGGCTTAAATATACCAAAATATGAAACAATATTTTGTTGAAACGCTGCTTTTGGCCAGTCATCTGGAAAACATTTTATCTATTTATTTATTCACCCATTTTACTCATTTGTTGGAAAAATATATTAAAATAGGAGGTAATTTTTCAGCTGACTGGTGTTTGCCATAAAGTTAAGACAGTTACTTGTTTTATTGTGAGCAGCCTTAACAACATAAGACTTTTCTTCTCTGTTCTAATTCATTCATGACACTTGAGAATAAATTTAGAGAGCTTTTCAAGATATTTCAAGATCCCACAGAAACTTCAAACATTGAGAGGCTAACAGGACGAGCGCTAATACTTTGAATGTGCGCCTATGAAAGTCTTCTAGAATAATAATCGCATATGCCCTGTCGCATATGATATGTTGCGATTATGAGAAAAGCCTGCATGTCCTTAATAAGCCACCGTGTTCTACCGCTTTTTGCAACCTCTTTAAATACTTAGCGTGTTTCTGTACAGTTTTCTTGGAGTCCATATTACTTACCATCGAAAAACATCGCATGCCCCATAAGGGCCACAGTAGTAGTCTAGAAAATTCTGTATATTCTGCTGTTGACATCGTAATTTTAGAACTAGGGTATGTGCTATAGACGGATGGGGGTGGGGGTGGGGGGTGGGCTACGACAAGGTTTGATGTATAAAACTGTTAGAGCGGAAGTTTAGCTGTTGACTGGCCTACATTTTAAATGTTAGCTGTTATGCAGACCCCTCCCCCTCCCCCCTCCTCTGTGGTGAACCTTGCATTACATCTCTCCTGTATTGTGTTACTTGAAAACTACATTATCCAAGCCAATTAAGATGAAGAATCTTCTCATGTATGTTTTCGATGCAAATCCTCAGACTCAAGATAGAGCACTTTTCGATTGAGTATCGTAAACGCGTGAAAACAAACCAAAGGAAAGACCAAAAATTGCCAAAAGAATTCAGAGTAAAATTAGGCTGAGGGCTTCCCAAATAACAAAACCCACCAAGCGCTGTCTTCAAGCAATAAAGCTAGATAAATACAATAAAAAAGAAACTTAAATAAACATACGCTTCATTCTTTTCTGAAACTTTCCGTGGTAGCAGAATTAAAACGAGCTGAACTGGAGCTCTTCCCCACCGTTATTTATCTCCTGAATTCACACATCAAAATCTAGAGCGCTCTAAAATCATTAACAGCGACTAGGACTGAAAAAAATAATAAATTAAGGGGCACTAGAAAACATCTACAGCGGAAGACAAACAGGAGCAAAACAGGAGGCCAAACGATTAAAAAAGGAAAACAAAATATTTATTGATGAAAAGATATCATGTCTAGTTTATCGTGTTGTAAGTTTTCAATTGCCCATCGTATCTAATTCCTACTGAGCCACCATTCGTCGTCATTTGACACACTGACTTGTTTTTTCAAACAGAAATTTTCCCATTTTAATTCACTTTCTCTTTTCTTTTTACATCAGTTGAAAATGACTGCAGCTGGAACAGGTAGATGTTTGACAGCTTTTATCTTTTCCTTTTGTTCTGAGCAAAATGCCGTCAACTCCAATTTGCATAAGTTTGTATATGTCACCGCTACCTTCTATCACGCCGCGAATATTCAACTTGTCGGCTGAAAATGCATGACTGAGAATGTATATCCGTTTTTGATCATGATGACTGAATATTGGCTTCGTTCTTTTTTTCCCCTTTTTTTTGGACCTTAACTTCCTCTCGGTCAATAAAAAAAGGGAGAAGAAGAACGTAGCCAATATCCGGCCATCTTGATCGAACAAGCTTTGTCAGTGAAGGATTTATTATTTAGAGAACTATTTCGCTTTATTTTAAAAGAATTAAGAATTAAGAATGATTTTGTTTTACCTCGAAGGTCGTGTTTGTAGCTCAATAAACCCACGAGATGTTTTCTTTGTTTTGCCTGTCCCCTGCCAATCTTTGCGACTCCACCGCCGGGTAGCCGATTCGAACTTAGGATTCGATTCATATTCTCCACAGGAGCTGCCAGCGATATAATGCATGATTTCATGTAATGTATTTTGCTGTAATCTTAGCTCCTTCGATACGCACTTCGTTCGAATTAAGTAACAGAAGTTTGTTACAACTGCCTAAAATCAATACAAATAACTGTCGACAATCTCTGCATTTATTTTCTGTCATAGAGTACCTTATTAAATTTTCCGGAGCTGTGTTCTACAGAAAATTCCGCCGTGAAGACTCCATCCATAGATTCAGATCTCAGCCAGCTGTCGCAGTGTTTTTCATCAAACTTGTTCCAGACCAATAAATTCAAATGGTCTTCAGCTCTGCCACTGAACAAGACTTCAGTGCTATGGCTGTCGAAATTCATCCAGCAAAAACATATATCATTGTTGGTGACGAACTTTTTTTAATAATGTGGTATTGATTTTTGAAAACTGGGTCGACGAAGAAAGAAATTTAAACATGCAAACTAACGAAAAATGTTGGCTTCTTTCTGTTTTCTTAGCATTAACAAAATTTAAAATGTGTTAAACTATTGCTAAAACAAATTTAGACTTACGCATTTTTCTAACGCTTTGCAGATAACGTTTGGATCCTTTTTGGGGAAATATGACTCGGATCAATATGCTAACTAGGGCACAAAAGTTTTTCAATTGTCGAAGGTTCGCATTTTACGGTTCTAGCCCTAAAAGGACGAGATTTCTTAACCTACCTGGCTTTTGAAATAGTAGCTAACTCAACGAAAGACACTACTTTGATAAAACAATAATAATAATAATAATAATGGGAACAATGAGAATTCGATAGTTGACATTCCATGAGGTGGCTCTTCTTGTCCACTGCTTCCAAGTCGAATTGGAATGTAGAAATTTTGGTTTTATGTGGAGGGAGTTTTATGCCTCGTAGCAAAACTTTTCATGGCCGATTGGCAAGTGTCAACATCTAGGCTAAGGTTCTTTCCGAAAGCGACATTGCCGCTCAGTACACAAATTGCAGCTTACCTCATGGTTCTTTTCTTAACTGGTCTGCATTCAATAATCTTACTCATGGCAATGTCACAGTTGAAGAGCCCTGAACTACATTGGTCAATGATCAAAACTTCTGCAGAGCCTAAAATCAAAGCTCACGTGATGTAAATTCTTGATATTAGTGAATGTACCATATGCATGGCATAGTTCTAAAATAGATACCAAAATACGGAATGATATTTCGTTGAAACGCTGCTTTTAACCAGTTATTTGGAAAACATTTCATTCATCTATTCACCTATTAACTTAGTAAAATGCTTGCAGTAGTCTAGAAAATTCCAGAGCAAAATGTACAGAATCTGAAAATTCTGCTATTGACATCGTAGTTTAAGAACTAGGGAATGTGCTAATGTGTGTAGAGGGGGGTGGGGGAGGGAGGGCTATGACATGGTTTGATGTATTAAACTGTCAGATCGAAAGTTTAACTGTTGGCTGGCCTACATTTTTAATGTTAGCTTAATGAAGACGGTGGAAGGGTTTCCCAAATAACAATAGCCCACCGATCGCTGTCTTCAAACAATAAAGCTAGATAAGTTCAATTAAAAAAGCTTCACTAAACAGACGCTTTATTATTTCCTGAAACTTTCCGTGACAGCAGAATTAAAACGAGCTGAACTGGAGCTCTACTGGTTTATCATTTTCTCCTGAATTTACAAATCAAAAACTAGAGCGCTAAAATAGCAGCAACTAGAAAAAAAATAAGGAACCCAGGCACGCTTTAAAAAATTTCCAGAGGAAGACAAACAAGAGCAATACAGGAGGTCAAACGCCTAGAAAAAAATTTACAGAGAAAGACAAACGGGAGCAAATTAGGAGGCCAAACCCCCAGAAAGGAGAACAAAATAATAATTGATGTCAAGATAACATGTCATTAACAGAAGCAGATGTTTGCAAAGCCCATGCAAAAGCTTTATGTTGCGTGTCTGTGGCATTACGAAATCGTGTATCACCATGAAAGTCATTTCTCTTTGAGCTACGAAAATAAGATGGCTTTTTTCTTTTTATCTGCCAATCTTCTTGCTCTGGTTGTATCGGCGAGTTCTGTGAAGACTTCAAAAGGTGAGGTCTTTCTTCCTTTTTGCTTTATTTTCCTGATATCTACATCGTCTTTTTGAGAAAGTCGAAACCATTTTAATTGGTAATTTTCATTTCTTTATCAAAACACAGGACAAACGCCAAACGTTGGGTTTGTCTTCACCAATTTCCTTGCTCACAAAGGCTACTATTTGAACATTACAACTGTTGGTGCAGAACTGGTCCAAGACTCCCTTGAGTGCGTTTTCAAGTGTCTGGAGAAGGATCCATGTTTGTCCTTCAACCTGGCCGATTTGGATGATAACATTGACAATCTGCTATGTGAACTGCTTCCATCTGACCATTACACCCATTCAAACAAGTTCATCACCAACCATCTTTGGTATCACTTCAGTATTGTGGTAAAATTATTTTCCTTTTTCTACTTTATCCTATCATCACTCTTTTTGTTATTACTATTGTTTCATCCTAATAATTACTAAAATCAGTTCCAATCGTTTGAGCAAAGTTTATTCAAGTGTTCAACGTTAATATATATCTCTCGTCCGAAGCCATTTTTAAGTCGTTTTATTGATACGTCTTCGAAGTTTGTTTAACTGGTTTTATCAAGGGAGTAAGTAATTGATTTTCTCGGTTTTAGTCTCCTTGTTCGAGGTTGCCCTGTCAGAACAATGGAACTTGTGTACCTCTGTACCGGACAAACAGCTACAAGTGTCGCTGTACGAAAGCATACACAGGAAGCCACTGCGAAAACGGTAAAAGGTGTTAGTTCCTAGAACAACATTTTCAAAAATATTTCGCGCGCGTGCCTTTCGTATCTGATTCCTACTGAGCTATCATTCATCGTCATTTTACCTCACATTGACTTGTTTTGATAAATATAAATGTTTTCCTACTGTTATTCATTTCCTTTGTTCTTTGTATATCAGTTGATAATGACTGCAGCTGTTCATCAGGACCAGAAGGAAAACAGAGATGCAAAATAGGTCAGTTAATATTCCACCTTCAAGTTAAGGTAGCTTGAAACAGCTTTCCGAGACACCTATACCGAATATCTATAAAAAAAAAAAACCCTTAAAAAGCTACTTTCCCTTTGCGAAGCCAAAGGAAATTCACTCGTGTTCACAAAATGATTAAAGTCTGAAGTAATGGCGTTTCAAGGCAACCACAATCCCGTTACATGGTTTTTTAGATCGATCTCGTAATACGAAGCCAATATCCAGCCATCTTGACCGAACAAGCTTTTTTAATAAAGGATTTATCTTGTAGAGAACGATTTCTCTTTATTTTGAAAGAATCAAGAATGAATTTTTGACCTCCAGAGCCGAAGAAGGAAGTCAGCTGTGTTTGTAGCACAATAAAGCCACGTCAGTCGTTTATGCTTTATTTGTTTTGTTTGTGGTGGTCCTCGGCCGATTTTTGCGACTCCACCGCCGGCATTGTCTAAAAATTGCTAACTCTGTTAGTCCACTCGGGTAGCTAATGCGAACGATGGATTTGCTTCATATCGTCCACTGCCGCTGCCAGCGATATAACGCATGATTCTACTATGGCGAAATAGAAATTATC